TGTCTTTCCATGCCACCACCTCCAATGCCTTCTCTGCTCTTGTGGCTTTTCCAGGCAGGGATCCCATGATCCACTCATGCTTTTCCTTCTGGATTGATCCTAGGATCGTTTATTCCTAAAGCGAAAGAAAACTTCTCCTTCCTTACTTATACATCTTCTATGATTACAATTTTGACAACCACAATTAGTCCTACTAACAGTTGTTCACAATTGAAATCATAAATTCCTATCAGAACCACCCCCATTCCCTTTCACCAGACCTATCTGGACAAGAGGAAAACTAATCAGTGGGAATTTGAATACATTCCTTCCTTCTAAAACTAAGCACACCAATGAGAAAGTTTGTAAGTCAGGCACTTCAAGCCTTTATCACCCCCATTTCTAATAGCCACTGTCTAAATTGCCCTTACCCAGTACTCTGAGGAGACAAGCATGTTCCTTGATATGAAGAATCTTACATTCTAGTAGGGATTTTGTGCAACTGAATTTATAAACAAAGTCCAGTCCAACAAATTGTAGCAATTGGCACTTGCTCAGAGTATTAAACATCTTTATCTTCATCTGCTCAGGTTATGATTAGCTCAACCCTAGCCCCCAAGCAGAGTACTGGTGTGGTGCTGTGAGTTAATGAGTTGGACTGCAAGGTCCATTTGAATAACAAGATCGATGGTTCAAACCCACCAACAGCTCATCAAAAACCCTGTATGGGACACTGAGGGTCAGTGATGGAATCCAAGACACTTAACAACAGCCACTCAAGGTAGTCAAATGGGTTCCAGCTACAGATTTGGGAGTTCACATATACACCTCCCTGCACATCAAGTCAGCTGCCCCTTCACTCTCAGCCCTAGACTCCATGGGCTAGGTCAGGGCCCATGTGCTCAGGGGTTGATATAACTTCCTAACTTTCAAAGCAGCCAGCCTTCCTTCCCCTCTATCTCAAGGTCAATAGGTGCAAATAAAACTCAGTCCTTGTCTTCATTACTACATTTCCACAAATTCCACTCACAAGTAGATCTAGGTGGTCACCAGCGAGCATCTGACTTGCCAAATCCTTTTAAGTTTCAGTCCTGGAAGTAGGTTTTCTCTGATGTCTGGGCTTTCCTTGCTTTGAAGACTCCAAATCTCAAGACACTAAAAAGCAGCTGTTTTAATCTCCTGTTCTCCCAGGAGTTGGTCTGCAGGTCTTTTCAAATGCAAATGTATCAACTCTGCTGCTTCTACCAATGCCTCACACTGTACAAAGGCTTAAAGCAAAAAGTCTAATTCTCAGGACAAATGATAACTCCCCTTTCAGCAAATCCAATCAAGTATAGGTTGAAGCCAGGTTGACAAGCTCTCTGTAATAATAATTCCCAATATTCCTATCACACATGTATGCCTATTTTACAATAATAGGCAGGAGAAACTGTATCCATAAGGCAGTCAACATATAAACCTTTTAACATGCTCAAGTTCAATCCTTTCCTCTACCTTGGACTAACTCCTTCATATGCATATGGCCTTGGTCCTGTGACAGGGTGGGTTCCAGGAGGCCCTGCCCTGTATCATTAGCATCGATGCCAACTCAGGTCCTGTATGCACCAGGACACACAATGTCTGGGATTCCCTTTCCTCAGTGTGCAGTCCTATGGACAGAGTTCCACTTGGGAAACTACTAGGGTCATCATTACAGGGCATATTTGTCATTATGTTGCATTCCCATTCCTCTAGAGGAACCAGCCATCCCTTACTGACTAGTTCCAGGATTAGGGTGATTATGACTTTTGTATGAAGCAACCACACTCGTCTCCCACTCGATCTTTTCTTCTTTTTTGAATGTAGATGCCAAGTAGCATCTTTTTTGCTGTCCATGAAGACTCAGAGGAATGTAGGGATAAAAATATTAGAGGGATCTATCCACTCAGTGCTCCTACCCCATGCTTCAGGGCTCCAGGGTTCCACAAGCAAGACAGTAGTTTTTCCCAGCATTCAATATTTTCCTTAGCCCAGGTACCCAATCTTAATTCCTGACTTTATTCATCAGTTTTTTTGTCTTTCCTGCTACCAAAAATATACGGCATTTTTAAGCAATTAAGAGGTCCTCTGAGCTCCACAATTTGTTTTTGTTTAACTGTCATTTTATACATTCTAATATTTTCTTCCATAGAACTGAATCCTGCATCAGATGTATTTTCCACGAGCATGTTCACGCAACTCATCTCCAATAGATCTTTAACAAATGAGCCTCCATCTTGTGACCAACAGGCTTGTAAGAAACACCATTTGATTGAAGCTTGGTTAATATTGTGTGTTTTTCTTTTTGTATTTAAGTGTCATCGAGTTGGTTCCAACTCATAGTGACTAATAGGAGCTGCTGGTGAGTTTGACTGACAACCTTTAGGTTCAAAACAACCTTGTAGTCTAATGCATTACACAGTGACCCTTAAAATTCAGTCCTGAATCTGCGTCTAAGGCTCTTCTGACTGGGCCTCCTGAGGATGGTTGCTCATGTGCAGAGAAGAGCAGACAAAACCTCTCTGCAGCTGGAAGCCCAGCTGGCCCCGCCCACCTGCTTTGCATATTCCTTCCAGTCCACCTGGTCCTCCAGAGCCCATATGAATGCTGGGTCTGCACTCAGGGGAAGATCTGTCTCACTTGGGGCACAGAGTGAACCATGGAAGGCCCAGTTCAGCTTCTCTGCCTGCTAGTATTCTCGCTTCCAGGTAAGGGGAACAGGGATGGTTCTCTTGGAACATAGATTGGGTCTACTGTAAAGACAATGTGGTATGGTTCAGATCATATTAGTGACTTTGTGTTTTATTTCCAACTCCAGATGCCATGGGAGACATTGTGATGACTCAGTCCCCAGCTTCCCTCTCTCTGTCTCCTGGTGAAAGAGCCTCCCTCACCTGCAAGTCCAGTGAGAGTGTTTACAGTGCCTTACACTGGTATCAGCAGAAACCTGGGCAGGCTCCCAGGCTCCTCATCTATGGTGCATCCAACAGGGTTGATGGCATCCCAGAGCGATTCAGTGGGAGTGGGTCTGGGACAGGCTACACTCTCACTATCAGCAGCCTGGAAGCTGAAGATGTTGGAATTTATTACTGTCAACATGGACTTAAAACTCCTCCCACAGTGTTACATGCTTGAACATAAACCCCACCACCCCAGGGAGCAGATATGTGAGGCTGGGCTCTCCCAGCTGCTTCTCCTTGTGCCTCTATCTGCTTCCTGTCTTTTCAGATGCAAACACTCTGTGAAGACACTTTCTTGTTTTCCTAGAAGGGGCTAGGTTAAGTCCTCAGCATGCCTTCTAAGATTGTTTCTCCATAGTCTGAGTAGCACAAACATAGACAGTGCCTGTCCTAATTTTATGAAGAACAGAAAAAATAATGCTGGAGTTTAGCATCAATCAGAGATCATATTTCAAAAGTGAAGCCATTCTCACTATTCTAGGAAGGACCTGTTATAACAATTATATTTAGGTATTAGAATCTAAATAACTTTCAAAGTCTTGGGGTTCTCCTTGACAGGTAAGCAGATACTGGAAATGAGTGATTCTCACAAGAGTCTCCAGAGTCCAAGTGCAGCTATACTGAAGGTATCTATCTGGTGCCTAACACTACAGAAAACTATAGAGAAAAAAAGATTCTGTGAAATGTACTTCAAGTCTCCATGGAAAAGATGAAGATGATACAGGATATCCAGCCAGGTCATTATTACCCTGAGTCACAAAAGGGAGCCTTAGGGCAATGCCTAGATTATGCTTAGATTTGCTTCCAAGTATCTTCAGCAAATTGGCACTGTAGGATAATCACTTGACTGCTTACTACAAGGTCTTGGATTCAAACTAACCAGCCACTGCTTGGAAACCCTCTACAGGATTGCTGTGATTCAGAACTGACTGGAAAGTACTAAATCAAATGAAAAGTGTTTAAAGGTAACAACATTCTTCAGCAATTTGTTTAATTTGGAAATAAAATGCCATTAAGTCATTTCCTGAACAGAAAAAAAATTAAAAATATCAATACTGATACGTAGAAATTATTTTAGAAAACTTGAAGATGTTTCTTAATTTAAAAACTGCATGAAAAAGAAACTATTAAAGCTGTCGCAGTGTTTGTCTTTAAAATGTTCATCACTTGCTGCTCCATTTTCTCCAGGATTCAGTGGCATCTTGGAATCAGTGGGAGTTTGTTAGAAATGCAAAGTAGCAGCTCTCTCTGTATACCTGCTGATGGAAATATGCACTTGGCAATATGCACCAGATCATTTGTAAAAGTTTTAAGTAGTCTGTTGTAGGGTACATATACTTCAGCTCAAAAGATCCCAATGAGGACATTTTATACCTTTAAAATTTAATTCTATATGGTAAAAATTCACTCAGCTTCAATTTCCAACTAACACAATGCCAAACTTGGAAACATTATAAAAATGATAACAATTTAAAATGTATAATTATTAAAGTTCTAATCAAACACTTAAAAATCACATGACTTGAAGTGTTTTAGTAACTTGAGAAATTACTAAAGTGAAAATGTAAAACCTATACCTTTTTGTTGAACTTGTTTAGGCTTAATTTTTATTTCTGTAACTATGTTGTGGATTTTGTTCACTGTGATCATTATGGATTTGTGCCAACTGGGCTTGCTCAGGAGTCTCAGGAGTTTAGAGTTAATCTGTACTCATTGTCTCCAGGAGGAGATTTAATCTGGTTCAGTCACCCACATGATGTGATCTGATGTGACCAGGCATGATCTGATGTAATGACCTGTATATTGTAAATCCTCACTCTGTGGTGTTAAATAGGGAACTCTTGTAGCTTATTGGTTATGATTTAGGCTGTTAACCTCCAGGTCAGGAGTTTTAAACTACCAGCCATTCTGTGGGAGAAAGATGAGGCTTTCTTTCAGATTGAATTACAGCCTCTGAAATTTGTACAGTGTCGCTATGAGTGGGAACTGACTCCACAGCACACTACCACCACCACCAGCATGTTAAATAGGCCTCATACAAGCCATAGGTTTAGGCTGTCTCTTGAGTCTCTTGATGCTGTTGGATAAGCACTAGTCTGCTAACTGTAAGGTTGTTGGTAAAAACACCCAAGGCACTCTACTGAATCCCTCTATAAGTTCACTACGAGTCAACAGAATTTAACAACAGTATTTAGACAACCTTACATGTGTAACTAAGGAGCTCTGGTAGCGCAGTGGTTACGAATCGGGCTGCGAACCGCAAGGTCAACAGTGTGAAACTATCAGCTGTTTCCACCGGAGAAAGATGAGGCTTTCTGCTTCCGTAAAGATTTACAGCTTCGGAAACCCTGTTACAAGGTCGCTCTGCGTCAGAACTGATTCCACAGCACATAACTAACCAAACCAACCAACATGTATAACTACCAGTAAAGCTATCCATATAGACCAATTTTAACACAAGTATATCCATTAAGTTCTTTTATGAATAAAATGTGTTCAGGTGAAACCATTTACGCTCATAAAAATAACAGTGGACCAGATACAGGACCAGATATGGCTAGAGGAGGGGCCCTGGTGTGGCAGTTTAGGATAAGCACTGGGATGCTAACCTCCAGGCCCATGGTGCAAACCCATCTGGGGCTTCATGGAAACACTATGCAGGGTCTATGAGTTGGAACCTACTTGACGGCACTTAACACCAACACCAACAAAGGTAGAGTAATTTCCTTACAATTCTTGTTTCTATATAATCCACCAAATTGGTGTACTCACTTACAAAAAAAGTTTGTTTTTTATTGGTAGTAGTCCAAAGGCCTTAATGAAGATAATTTTTTTTAAATGCTTAAGACTGAAACCATTGCAGCCTATAAAAATTTACATTTTCTGTAGGCTACAGAATGATATAATTTCTAGATTTGTGATTGTTGGATTTTTTTCTTTTTTAATTTTAAGATGAAATCTGATTGATACTTTGATGACATAAGTCATATTGCTTGCAGTTTATAGAAATAATAAAAATAAATCTGACCTACCAATAAAGAAACTAACAGAAATACACAGCATTCATAGCCAGTTAATCTTACCTTAATATGAGACACAGGGACAATGCCTAGGCTTGGAGAGGAAGCGTAGCGGAATCCAAAAAGAGGTCGTTATGAAGTTTGTCATATTTACTGAAAAAATATATTTTAATATCTCTTTTAATTCACAGATAATGTCAGAAACATGCAAAAAAATTCTATATCTATATAATTCTTCCCGTTTTGTTTTTTTCTTATCACTATTTGCATGTCTGTATTTCATGTATCCTATAACATATTTTATTGCTGCATTTATATATTTATTTAAAAATACATAAAACAAAGCATTTAGAATTATCAAGCATCAATACTTATGACAAGCTCCTGTCATTGGCCACACAGTTTCTTTATTATGGACATTTTCTTTAGTGTTTACATTGGAATCACTTTCTAGTGCTTCCATCTGCAGAGTTCTGCTTGGTTGCTTTGTATTTTGTTGGGTCAGTCTGGTGGATATGAACTATCTGTGTTTTTGTTTGTCTGGGAATGTTTTAATTTCACCCACATTCCTGAAGGATAGTTTTCCTGGGTGTAATATTCTTGGTAGACAGTTTTTTGTTTTATGTTTTTTTCCTTTTAGCACTGTAAATATATATCATTGCATTGCTCACTGGTCTCCAATTTTTCTGAGGTGAAACAAAAACAAAAAACCCACTACTTACTCTTATAGGGGATCATGGGTATGTGATTATTAGCTTCTTTCCAATTGCCTTATTGATTCTGTCTTTGTCTTTCATTTCTGGGATCTGAACTATGATGTCACAGCCTTTGTTGCACAGAAGTTAGAGTGTCCAGTGATAACCAAAGGGATGCTCATTTGGACCCACTATCTGCTCCATAGGAGCTCTGGTAGCATAGTGGTTACGAGTCGGGCTGCCAATATCAAGGTCAGCAGTTCGAAACTACCAGCGATTCCGTGGGAGAAAGATGAGGCATTCTCCTCCCATAAAGATTTACAGCCTCGGAAACCCTGTGCAGGGTCACTTTGAGTTGGAACTGACTCCACAGTACTTAACAACAACAACAACAACTTCTGCTCCATGGCAGAAACATGTAGCAATCTGCTTCCCTAAAGATGTGCAGCCTTGAGGACCCTATAGAAGAATTTCTACTCTGTTCTAGAGTGTCACTGTGACTTGGAATCAAATTGATGACAGTAGGTTCAGTGGATTTAACTGTGATATGTCTTCATTTAGATCTCTTTGAATTGATTCTACCTAGGATTCTTTGAGATTCCTTGATCTGTAGATTCATGTCCTTCCTTTGATTAGGGAAATTGTCATTGTTCCTTCAGCTATTCTTTCGTTACCTTTGTGTCTAACATCTCCTTCTGGAATTCTCATGTTGTATTTATTAGGTCTTTTGCTGTTGTTCCAGTTTAATTAAATTGGGCTCAGCTTTCTTAAACCTCCATTGTTGTTATTCTTAATCATCTGCCATTTTAACTATCCTCAGCTTTACTGATCCACCTGCTTGATTACATCTCTTTATAAGTCCTATTGTATTTTTCATTTCAGTTATTGTCCATTTGGTTGCAATATTTCTTTTTTTCAGATGAGCAGTTTATTTTTTTGATTTTTCTTTCTGTTAACTCTTTGTTGATACTTTCTTGAATTCTTTAATCATGGTTAATGCTGTTGTAATATAGTCTTATTCTTTTCCATTATTGGCCATCCTTATGTAAATTGTCATTCCCTTGCTCATGCTTACTGGGATGGATCATTGTTATTTGGGTGTGTCTTGTTTTGCTGTGGCATTGGAATTTTCAGAGGTGTTAACTTTTCTAATAGTCCTTGGTATTTGGTGGTTTTCACTGCATTTTAAAAAATAAACATTTTAGGTGGTCAGCATCTTTTTATTTATTATTTCCTCTCCTTCATTTCCCCTCCCGTTGTCATTAGGATTTAAAAGATACAGGTTTTGGTTTTCAATATTTCACCTCTCCCAAACAGGAGTTCTTGAGGGTTAATGCCTCACACTGCAAAGTCCTTTAAACTACAAGGTCTGTGGTTCAATCTCACAAGCTGCTCCTTGGAAACGCTATGCAGGGTTGCTATGGGTCCAAATCCACTAGATGTTGTTGTTGTTATGTGCT